CCCATTAGTGAAGGTTCTTTGGAGAAATCATTCAGGCGAAGAAGCTACCTGGGAGCGAGAAGAAGATATGCGAGTTTAATATCCACATTTGTTTCAGGACAAGTACAAGGTAAATTTCGAGACGAAATTTTTTTTAAGGGAGAGAGAGTTGTAACACCCCAAAAAATTTTACAATATTTGCATTCTTGATTGAGCATTATTTTTTATAACGAAGAAATATTTTACTTTGCACTTCGTAAATATAGAATGGTCAATATATGAAAATTTCTTACTTTAGGTTGTGTTAATATTGACAATGAAGTTCCATGGTGTTGCTATATGTAACACTTAATATTATTTTGACGAGTTGTTAGTAAATATAGTATATAATTAAGTTTTGGGTTTCCAACCTTTTGTATTTATCTAAGAATATTTAGTAGTCGGGAAACCATTTTATTTCATATCTGTCCATAAACTCCCTATTCTTCTACTCTTCAGAAACAAAGAAGAATAACTCTCTACCTCTCTCTCTTTCTATCTCTATCTCTCTATCTCTATCTCTATCTCTCTCTCCTCCGTAGGAACAAGAAGCTAAAGTTTCATCAAAAAAAAAAACATGGATTTCTACTAAATCAACGCACAAAATTCGTTTTTGGTGAAGATCAAGTTGCTCCTCTTGGTAAGTTTCTAAACTCGTTTTTATACTAGACANTCATCTTGACTTTGGATTTGTAATTCGTCTTGAATTATGGAACTTGTCCGTGTTAAGTACGAACTAGGAAGCCATTTTTAATATGGTTCTTGATTCTCTTGTCTATTGGGTTTTGACCCTACTTGATTTGGGGCTTCGGTCCATCTTGATATCTGATTATGCTTAGTGTGATGGCATGACGTACATATTGGGCGAAAAATGGATATTTGGTATACTCTCTTAAATTGATAGTATACACTTTCTAGACTCTTGAACATTGTTATTGATATTTGGAAACACTTCAAAGTTTGACATTGATATATTTGTTCACTTGTTTTAAATTATGTTAAATTGAGCTAACTATGACTGAAAAGGGTAAATTGGAGAATTTAATGACTTCAAGCCTAAAGTTTATACACCACTAAGCTTTATGCTTAGCGATAGTTGTTTTCTATCGTAGGAAATGTTCGGGATGAAATCTGAAGATGGCCAGGGTGAAGTAGTCTCTTTGGGAGAATTTATGGAGATCACATTTGCATATGCACCTTGGTTTGCATAGTTTTGGGACATGTACATGATATGCATGATATATAGGATATACAGGATATACAGGATATACAGGATATATACATATATATATGTCACACTTATGTTATTTGGAGGCTTGTTGGATTTTAAAGACCAAAATCTTATAGCTTGAATTTGTAACCTATTTTATTGTATTAGGGTGTTTTAATAACTCAAGTCTTGTAATATGCTGAATTTACACTTTATTTTGTAAATATGTAGAAAAGGAGAAAAATAGTTTCCTTTGTTTTTATATATACCCGATAGTTTGAAATTTATGTACAATATAAACTTGTAGTGATTTTGAATGATTGTATAAGTCTGTTAGGAAGTTGCGTTAATCTGTTGATTAATCCAGAAGGGTTATATCACCATATGTTAATATTTTGATATTGTATTTCATTTAAAATAAAATTATGGTGTATTTTCAAAATATATATATATATTGCACTTTGAACCTTTTCGCATAGGCCTACTTCCGCTACTAAAATTATTCTAAATATTTTTATTAATATCTCTTTTAATATTTTGTAAGTAGGAAATTAGATTTGTTTTCCTAAGAAGTACCCCCCCAAAGGGGTTGCTACAAGTTTTGGTATCAGAGCCATAGTTTATGATTCTAGGATTTGTTTTGTTGTGATAGTACCTAGTATTTGTTGTTTCCTTTCTTTAAAATGACTTGGAGTTTATAAATTTTTGCATACTTGTTTAATTTAATTTATTGTATTTTGTATGCATATGCATCATGTACATGTCCCTAATGCAGTGTGATCTTATCTTTTATAGGATTTTTAATATGACCTCTTCTTCTAATAGAGCTGTTGAATCCGTTGATGAAAGTTAGGCCCAGTATAATGCCATGCCTCACCTTCAGGGAGGAAATGAGGAACTCTTGCCTGACCTAAATCATCCTCGTGTTAGTGGAAATGAAATGAGCAGTAATCCAAGAGCAATGAGTCATAATACTCCATTTATGACTCCCTCATTCCAGCATATGGCTGAATTCTTTCGTCACTTAGCTGGGACAATGTCAGAACCTAGTGAAATGAATTTTGAGAAGATGAGAAAAATGGGCGGAGTTGAATTTGAAGGCACTACAGATCCCACGGTAGTTGAACAATGGCTCGAGCGCATGGAGAGGGTCTTTGAACAACTGGAGTGTACTAATGCTTCCAAATTTAAGTATGCTATCTCTCTTTTACAAAAAGATGCCTATGATTGGTGGGTAAGTGTGCCAAATGCAAAAGCGAAACCTCCGGTGCTGACTTGGGATGACTTTGTGAAATCATTTCGTGCAAAATATGTTCCCCCTGTCTATTGTGATGCTAAAAAGAAAAGAGTTTCTGAATTTAAGACAAGGGAGTATGTCTATTGCAGAGCATCAACAAAACTTTCTCAGGCTTTCTCGCTATGCTAAAGGTATTATTGATGGTGAAAGAGACAAATGCAGAAGATTTGAAGAAGGTATTATCAAATACTTCACCCTGGCCATCTTCAGATTTCATCCCGAACATTTCCTACGATAGAAAACAACTATCGCTAAGCATAAAGCTTAGTGGTGTATAAACTTTAGGCTTGGAGTCATTAAATTCTCCAATTTCCCCTTTTCAGTCATAGTTAGCTCAATTTAACATAATTTAAAACAAGTGAACAAATATATCAATGTCAAACTTTGAAGCGTTTCCAAATATCAATAACAATGTTCAAGAGTCTAGAAAGTGTATACTATCAATTTAAGAGAG